GACGACGGCCGGGAAAGTCCAAGGTGACGAAAACAACGGTCAGATTTACAAGGAGACTCTAAGTCCGTCGGGATCCGCATTTGGCGGGTGATGGAGGGGCAAGGGCCTTCCAAGTCGCACGGCCGTTGTCAGTGGAAGGGAGCGCTAGTGGGCGCATACAAGGAACGCTCTGTTTGAACGCACAGAAGGAAGGCTCTGTTGTCGTTGAGCGAGAGCACTCGCAGTACAAAATGTAGTGGTGGATGCACCACCACACAATTCGGCGCAGCGCGACCCCAAACTGACCCCTATAAACACCGATTCTCACCATCTGCTACGCAAGCTCGTGCGGTGTTCCATTCAAAGGTACTATTGCAAGAGCTTATCGAACTCGGACATCTCCACTTCGCAGAGAACAAAAATGTAGAAATGGATGAAAGATCCCCCCTGCAACCCTTCCAAACATTGATTCGGTCAACCGACAAGGCGACCCCCGACTCGCGCGCCTGGAACGACAACGTGCGACAGCCCGAACCGCACAGCAACCAGAAACACAAGCATGTCTGCAACAATTGTTCGCCTTCTGAAACGCCCTTGAAGGGGTTCATGGGGGTTGCCGACGCTGACAACGGCCGTGTCCCTTATTTTTGGCAACCCCCATAAACCCCTTGAAGGGCATTTCAGAAGGCGAGCAATTTTTCGTACCCTCTGTCCTCTGGAAATCAACTCGCACTCGAAGCTCAAGGCGTCATGCGAAGGACGGTTGGATATGCGCCGATTCTCAAAGTCCGTCAGGATCCGAACTTGGTTGATTCGCCTGTAGCGAGTAACAGGCATGTGACGCGGCTGCAGGTATTGGAACGGGTGGTTGCCGTTTGCACAGAAGCCGTCGTCAACCCCAATAAACCCCTTTTAGGGCAACTGAGAAGCGAGCACTTTTGACGACGGACGGTGAAGTCCGGGATGTCGAAAATAACGGTCAGATTTACGCGGAGACTCTAAGTTCGTCGGGATCCGAATTTGGTGGGTGCTGGAGTAGCAAGGGTCTCCCAAGTTGAGCGATTCGATGGCGCACATTACGTGAAGTCCGCCGGGAACCGAACTTCGTGGATCGAGGGCTTTCGTCAAATAATGCTGAGTCGAACTTCTTGTCCAAAAACCGATCAGTCACGGCACCAGGGGTGTCTTGGTAGCCGACGGGACGGGCGATGCAAATTTCTAGCCTGGCCGCTTGTCCAAAAAAGCGAGCAGTCATTCCGGCACCGTTCATATTGCAACCCACAAACTGCCCGCAACCGTAGCGGCAGGAGTGCTGTGTCTTGGTCCGCACAATTGTGGAGACGTGTGCATATTGCATGCCGTGCTAGTCCGCCGGGATCCGAACTTCATGTTCACGATCTCGAGCTGCACTGGTGGAGATGAAGAGGTCGCAGTCGTGCTAGTCCGCCGGCATCCGAACTTGTGCGAGATTGGATTTCGGCGGGCCACGTCACATGCCTCCTTCAACTTCGCTCGTGAAATGCTCAGACGCATCAACAGCGACCAGACTGCTGGCCCAATTGCGAGTTTTTGTCGCTACAGAAGGAGGTTCGCTCCGTGGTGCCACGTGGACCGCAGCGCACTCATCGTGTAAGGAGGAGGACGTCCGTCAGTCCACGTGGCAAACAACGGTAAGAACCTCGTTCCTCATTGACGAAAGTTCTATCGACCACATTGCACATTTACAGTCGATCCGGGACGGGGTTCTCACCACAGTCTGCCAACTGAACTGATGGAGGTTCTCCTCCAATAACGTTGAGGGCTCTGCGATCCACGTGTCTGTCCACATGCCAGACAACGGGGCGCACCTCGTTCAGCAACGACGACGTTGCACAACTGCGGCAACTTTTATCGCCTTCTTCTTGCGTTTACATCGACCAAGCGTTTCGCAGTTTGTTGCGTGCGTTTGGTAGTTTGTCGCCCGCGATACCGTGCAATGTCGTCGATGCAGAATGAGGTTCGTGCCATGGCACCACGTGGACCGCAGAGCACTCAACGCGGCTGGAGGAGAACCTCCATCGGTCCACGTGGGAGAGTGCAGTGAGAACCTCGTCCCACATCGACCACGATTGTGTACTCTGGTCAATACAACTGTCAATTGCGAAACGTGTGTGGTCACACTAGTCTTTGCACGGTTTTGACAAAGCATCTGATTGTTAGCTGCGATTAGAGCAAGCTCATGACGGCAGGGTTGACTTCTGCGCGATTCTGCTCGAACCCTAATGCACTGTGAATTTTGTTCATGAAAAGAGTTCGCGTGTTTGGCGCGTGGCGAACAGTGGCGGTGGGAGAACAGACAAAGGCGAGGAAACACGGCGTGTTTGTTTCCATGATGAGACACGGCTTATTCTTTACGAGTGTTATTTTGTGAGATTGCACGGATCTCGAATCATCTACTTGCATAAACCACCTGTGCTGTGGATGTAGGATCGTCAACCCCTTCGCAGCGTGTTGGATGGGCGGAAGATCATATGACACATGGCAACACACCGACGCGCCGACATGCCAGGAAGCTACAAGCGAAGTGGCAAATCGACACACGACAGAAGAGAGACTCTCTCTCTCTCTCTCTCTCTCTCTCTCTCTCTCTCTCTCTCTCTCTCTCTCTCTCTCTCTCT